CTGACTAAACCTATGTTTAGTTTATATGACCAGTTATAAAATTAATCCATTAAAATTTAAGAATATTTTTTTCCTTAAGAGACGTAATGTCAAATTCTCATAATTTATAATTCACATAGAGTTAAAGGCTTCTGAAATTTAGACAACTAGCTAAAGAAGGCAAAATCACACAGGAACTAGAAGAGGTACATGTCATCCCTATTTTCCTATCAGCTCCTGGAACTGCATTAACAATGCTTTCAGAAGCATATTTTTAGCCAACAGTAGATGACATATATCCTAATACTTTTTTAATTAAAAAAAAAGTTATTTTATTCACTCATATAACTCTACACAGGCCATTAAATATAAAATAATAATAGCAAGATAGCAACTTGTCCTAGTATTCTTCCTGTTTCAACCCCATCAAAAATATAAGATGAAAGATACATCAATAATAACTTTCAAAGCAAAAGGAGTAAAATTCAGATGATCTCAGAAAATTCATCCATATATCCATTTATCCATCATTCAGTCACCAAGCCATTTATTTATTCAGTTCTTACTGTACCTCAGCTACTGTGGTAAGCACTAATCATAAACAGACAGAAACAGTGAAAAAGAATGAATACACGTTTTCATTGTCTTCATTAAATCATTTGGTTCTATGTTTTTAAATATGTTTTATGCTAGGTTTTGTACTTTTTCACACTTTAATTCATTATGCTTTCTCAATTTTAATGTTTATATTTGAAACTAGTGATAATTACAAATGTAAGCACAAAAGAAAAAGAGGCTAGATTTCCTGAAGAGTATTATAGAATGAAATTATGATCCATTATTCTAAAACAATCTACCTTCTCCTCAACAGAAAAAGAAAAAGAAAAAAAAATGAAGACATGAACTGCCTAGAAAAGTTTGGTAGGACTCTTTTGAAGTGTTTTCAAACTGTTTCTGTCCAAAGGGCCCTGTGTCTCTGGGTACTTTGGCTCATTTCACAGCAAGTGTTTAAACTGTCAGTGGTACCTTTTGTTCAGTAATTGACTGGTGCTGAGGAGCTCCATGACCTTTGGAAATGCCAACTTCTGATCAAGACCTTATGTAAAAGGCTTTACGCGAATACAGATCCCTATAGAGTATGTAACTACTGCTTTAGTGATCACTCTTGAGCTCTTAATGTCAAGTAAGGATCACCTTTTGCTTGATATATGTTTGGAATCTGTTGTTTTTATTCTCATTCAAAATGTGTTAAAAAATAATTTCTTTTAAGGCCACTCTAGGAAATCAATAATTGAAAACACAAAGTTGGAATAAGATGTCTTGGCAGACAGACAGACAGACAGACACACACACACACACACATACACGCACACACATACATATATACATACATACATACATACATACATACATACATACATATATACATGTATATATATACATATATACATATATATGTGTATATATATATATATATATAAAATTTTTTTTGGCAGACCTTGGTGGAGATGGGAGGACAAAGAAATGAAATAAAACTATTAGGTATGCCTCATACTTTTATCTATATAATAAAGAAGTGAAGAACAAAATGCTATTACATGACACCAAAAACCACAAAATTTCCAGCGGGAGCTGGAAGGTTTACTTGTACATTTATGAGTGGGTGGGAGAGTGGTTGAGAAGTTGTGTAGAAACACAAAGATATTTTTCTGTCTCAATGATTTTTCAAATATAGAGAAAATAAGAATAATTATGTGATAACAAATCCAAATAAACTCCAATTAATAGCAAAATATCCTAGAAACAAATATTAGTGTGTTATTTCCTAACATATCTATCTTTAGTTTTCATTGAACCAACATGTTTTGTAGGCCTAACCAATCTACAAGTATATGTTTTATGTGCTTATAAGGAACAAATTAGATGATGGATGCAAAGCATTTAATAAACTTGGCACTATGTGACAGCTATTATTGCTCATTATAATTATTATTATTGAACTTAGTGATTAGAAGAAAATTTAAGTGTAGACCATAACTAAAGATTAGTTCTATTTTTTAAAAAGAAAAAGAAAAAGTGCTACCCTTGCTATACCTTTCAGAAATTCTGACATTATGTTACGCTATTTTCTACCAATTATAAGACACTACATTTGAAAGCTTCTCTATAGCACAGCAGGGCCCTAGAATGACAAATTTCAGAGAGCATCTCAAATTTTTCCAGTATTTGATAATAATTTTGGCATCTTTAAACCTCTCTCCTTGGACTGAAGTAATACATTATAGAAGTTAGTTCTCCATCCCCTCCCCACTTATATATGAAAGTCTTATTCTTCAGTATAACAAAATACTAAAACAATTATTTCCTTTCTATTCTTCATATATCTTTGATTGTTATTCAGTTATACTAGTTTTAACCCCATAACTTGAAAGGTATGGATAGATTTATTTTCTGTGATAAAATGGATTAAGCTTTGCCTTTCTTCCTTGACAGGTTCTGAGACTATGAATTACAGTGCTCATCACTGCCTCATACTTCCATATTCATCTTAATTTTATTGATAGCTGTATTTTGTCACCTCACTATTAGATAAAGTTGTGAGCTGTGAGCAAAGAAATTTATCTGAAATGTCTGTGGAATTTCAGAATTGTTAGATAAAACTATCCTGATTTGTTTATAAAAATAAAATCTAGTGATATTTTTTTAAAAAGGTCATCAATTTAAATCTAGCTGATTGTCAATTACATTATATTCAACTTTTAAGTTTCATATTCACTAAGGATTTTTTTTTAATGTTCTCCTATTACCATTAAGAAATAAGAGTGATTAGTTGTTATGTGATGACCATTGAAATTGGGACTGGAAAATATAAATGAAAAGCAAAGTAGATGAGAGATTGAAATATTCCATTAATTAGTTAAATGAAATTAATTTATATTTCTACTCTCTAATATGAACAATTTAGGCTATAATTATGCCTAAATTTTATTTAAATTTATGGTTTTTCTACATAATAAATGCAAGCAAAAGTTCAGTAAAAAATAGATGCTCTGCTTATAGATACATCTTCTCATAATATCTTACAAAGTCTAAAGTTTGTTCTGTAATGAGAGTGTCAGATATCAGCTAATTATTTGTGTCAGTAAGGAGAATTGATGATGATATATATTCCTTGATTCTCCCTCTCTACTTCACCCCATCCCACCTGTGAAATTACATAAGGGGCAGATTAAGCCTTTATGAGGTGTAAAGAATTACTTCTCCAATGAAATTAGAAGGCAGCTTGCCATTGGCTAGCCAAAGTTCAGATATTTCCCCAGTGGCCTTTAGAAACAACACGAAATAAAATAAGACACAGTCCTTAGAAAAAAAAAACAGGGGAGCTGGCTCCAAGGAGTATGATCTTAGCTGCAACAAAGAGAAGCAGACCCAAGGAGCCCAGCTCAGATTACTTTCTAGAAGAATGCTCCACCAAAGGAGGGACAGTGTGAGGGCATCAAGAGAAGAAGCTGTTTCATGCACAGTGGCCACAGCCCAGTAAAACTGTCTTGACAGATGAGCTAAACCTTCTTCAGGGTAACCATGTTGGTGAGTTAGGAGATTGTCTACCCCAAGCATGAGAAGACTTCCTCTGGTGGAATGGGTGAATGAGAACAATTTGTTCCAATGACTATGAAGCCCGTTGAGGCAGACACTGTGACGCGCTTACAGCTTGATCAGACAGCAAAGATGCCAAGGTCATCTACTGCATCCTGGGCAATTGACAGTCATCTTGATTTTTGTCTTGCCCCTTGACTTCAATGACTCTGGAAGAGAGAGTGAGGCTGACAACTTTGCTCAACTCTGCCTCACTTAAATCCAGTTCAGATAGGAATCAAGATATCACCCCATGATGTACAAATGGGGCAGCTAGTTGACCCAGTGAATAAAGCACCAATCCTGGAGTCAGGAGAGCCTGAACTCAAATCCTACCTCAGACACTCACTAGCTGTGTAACCCTGGGTAAGTTACTTAACCCTGATTGCCTCCCTCTCCCCCTGCTCCCCCCCAAAAAAAAATTAAGCAAGAGAAGAAAAAGGATTTCAGAATCCTGTAGTATCTGAGGCATGGATTGTCTTAGCCACATGTTTTCTCTATGGGTGTCTCATGATTTGTGTTTTCTAAGTTTGTTTTCACTCTTCCTATTAGCATTTTGTGTAATTGGAGAAGAGTACATGCCAGGTTTATGAGCGGTATTTATTACAGCTACTTATTTCTTATGCCTTTTTTTTTTTATCAGTACCAAGTAGCTTTAGTGGGATGTAAATGGTGGTAGTTTTTTGGTACAGATTATGAAAAGGTCAGATAACCAAAATATGCCTGCACTGAAAGACACTAGGAGTCACTCCTACGGTTCCCAAGTGTGGAGGAAGACAGGTGTGGCTTACCTCTCCTTTTACTGTCTCCAAGGGTGTGCTCATCAAAAAGATATTCCACCATGCCAGAATCAGGGGGCCCCCCCAATTTTGCATAAGTTGGTTACCTGATCACCCATTTGCTGATGGACTTTATCTGTTTGTCCAAGTAGTGGATTTCGATGAAATCACATAAATAGGGATCATTCTTGTCAGTTGCCAGCTTGTGCATTTTTTTTTTCCAAGTGCATTCAGCCCACTCTCCCAGTCATCTCGGTCTGGTTTCTTGATGTCTTGCAGGAAGATACAGCCACCTTGCTGGTTTTGGAGTTTCATCAGTTTTTCAGCATGCTCCCTCCTCTCCTTGTGGGATTGGTGTAGGAAATACCTGGCACATCATCTCGGTTGAAGTAGTAAGACATGGACAGGTAGACGTAGGAGGAGTAGGGTTTCAGGTTGATCTGCGGGTTGATGGCGGCCTCTGGGCCTGGTGGTAATTCTGTTGCACCTGAGAGGGAGACGAGGTCTTCATGAAGGCAAAGATGATGGAGACTGTGGGGAGGGGGAGGTGGAAAGGAAGAGTGGGAGGAGGGAGAGGAGGAGAGCTGCTGCTGCTCAACCGGGAGGATGGAAGAAGTGTTGGTTAGTGGAGGTGAAGGTGGAGAGGTGAGCAAGGGCAGCTCCAGGTGAAAATCGAGCAGCGGGTTCAATTCAAGCACCATTGAAGCAGGAAACCACAGCAACTCCCCTTCCTTGCACTTCTGGCCTTTCTTATGCCTTCTTTATAAATTGTTTTCTTTTAGCTGTGTCTAGTGGTACCTATTAATGTTAAGTACGCTGAGAGTAGCTTGTGTGTTATAGTTTTGGGAATGTTGACCTAAAAAGTACCTTTGAACTTGGATCAACACAGCAGTGTGAGTGAGAATTGGTGGAATATCCCTTGAGGGGCTGGTACATTTGTTGAAATTATATTGAGAAATTTAGAAATAAAAGTAATATTACCTTCCCTAATATTTTATCCCTGTGTTAATACCTGGACAGGCGATATGCTATAGGAATTGCAATACATTTGATATCATTTCACTCTAAAGAGATGTCTTCAAGCTGTCAGTTCTGCCACTTAGGAAATCTTATGAACATGAATTAGTTTTTCTTAGGGTCTCTGTTTCCTCATCTGTAAAATGGGACTTGTAGTACTTGGCTCATGGGATCATTGTAACAATGACATTTAATAAATTTATAAATGCAAGTTATTATATTGGTGAAAAGGTTTAAAAATGGTTTTTTCCTCTTTAGTTGCAAAGCATCACTATCTCCTGCCATTCCCTATCATCATCTATACCCATTTATCCTATGACAAGACTATTCAAGTTTCTTTCTCTTTCACTGAGCATGAAATCTCTTAGTCTAACCTGCCCATCTGGAGTCTTCTTTTCTCTTCACTGTTCTTGCTTTTTCTCTCATTCATCTATTCTTTGACTTGACTCTTCCCTCTCTTTAATATTTTCTAATTTATTACCTTTACTCCAGAAGAGGGTTCCTTGGCCCATCTGAAAGGTTAATGTCACTTGCTTATATATTCTAACTCAAGAATTCTTTCCTTGTTACCTTTTTCAAGCTATCTCATAGCTCCAAGTTGGTGGCTGTTTTAGCTTCCTCTGAATGTTCCCGGTTTCACATCAATCCCTGTCTACTCTATGCCAGACCTAATCAATACATACTAAAAATATGCCAGACTAAAAAGTAAAATAAATGAAATGAAATTAGCATACTTAAACAATCACTATCCATAAATTATTAGTCAACTTTGTTAAGTGGCTATTTTAAGATGTGTGTCTCCATCAAGACAATTCAATGAGTGACAGGGGCGTCCTGGACCCTGGCTTCCTAGGAAGGGTGTGGAAGACCCCGACCGCCTCAGATGACGGTTACGAGGAGGCTCCGCCTCTAGGGTAGAACAGGGGAGGGGCGCAGAGTCTTACGAGGCTTGGGAGGAGGGTCCTTGAAGTGTATATAACGGGCTGAGAACAAAGGATCGGGGGGATCCTCCACAATAAAGAGCATACACCACACTCGCGTCCTGTCTGGTCCTTGAGCCCACCTTTCCCCCAGGGTGGGTCCGGAGACGTCCGAAGCCCAGCTCCCAGGGGAGGAGGCGTACCTGAAGGGCCCGGCCCGGGTCAAGTGGTGCCCGAACGGGACTTGAGATAGAAGTTCCTCTTCGGGGACCCCGCCAGGTACGGGTAAGTACCCTCTCTCCAGTGAAAGAGAGGAAGGGACAGACAGCCTGCGCAGATCGGGGCTGCGCAGAGGAGATGGGAGCACGATACAGTAAAGAAATTACACCGGAGGATAAGCGAGTGCTAGTCCTACAAGTTTATAAACTTTGTAGGGACAATGGGGTGAAAATACAGCTGAGACGCTGTCAGGAGTGGGTAGAGAAACTTATAGTGGTGTCCCCGTGGTTACAGAACCAAGGGATTGATTATCAAAGATGGAAAATAGTTGGGAGTCAGATGTCTTCCTACGCAGAGACAGAACCAGGGTTCTTAAAACCAGAGGATTTTACTCTTTATGGCATTGTGACTTTTGCCCTCTCTCCGCGCCCTCCGCCGGTAATAGTAGCGGAGGAGACACAGGTAGGAACATCCTTATTAGGAGGGGAACAAGACCTCGAGGGTCAGGAAGAGCCATGGCCTGAGCCCCCTAAGCCCTCTGAAATCCCGTCCGCACCATGGCCGAGTCTGGAGCCGCTCCCTTCGGAGCCACTCCCCAGTACGTGCCAAGTTGGCAGCAGAAAAAGGAAGTTCCGCCTGTGGCAGTTAGAATTCCAGAAAGAGGAAGTTCCACCTGTGGCGCAGTTAGAAATGCAGATACAGCAACTACAGACCCAAATAAATCAAATGCAGCTTGATAAAAGAGGGAAGAATGAACAGACCCCGCAGGCTTCACTTTTACAGCATTCATTGCGAGAGGCCGCTAGGGATGGGCAGGTAGTAGACTGGAAAGAGTGGGGACAGGAATTCCCGATTTTTGTCCAAGGAGGAGCCGGAGGAGGTGGTCGATCTCACCGACCAGTGCCCTATAAGTTCATGAAAGATTTAAAAGAGGCGGCTAAATTATATGGAGCAGGCTCTTCTTATGTCAAGCAGCTGTTGCAATCTACTGTGGCTGTGGCCGCTTGGACCCCAGGGGATTGGGATGAAATTATGTCTGCTGTATTAGAGAGTGCTGCTTACACCGCCTGGTCAGCGTACAGACGCCGAGAGGCTAGGACCTGGGCGGAGGTTAATTTCCCTCAGAATGTAGAAGATACCATTAATATGCTAACTGGGTATGGCCAGTATGCTGGGCTGCAGGCACAGCTTTTACTCCCAGACCTTGTTATACAAGGTGCCCAGATGGTGGCGCTAAGAGCATTGGATAGACTAGGGGAGAAATCACAACCTCCTTTAAACAAACTCGTGCAAAGGCCAAAAGAAAGTGCCATGGAATTTGCGTCCCGAGCACAAGAGGTTGTGGAAAAGAGATATGGAGCAGGAGATGTTGCCCAAAAGCTGCTGATACAGCTTTTCAAAGAAGGACTTAAACAGTCACGAGGGTTGTTGTCAAAGTTACCACCAGACCCCACATGGGAAGAATGCATTGATGTCCTTATAGGAGTGCCCATAGCTTTATGGGGGCGTGACATTTTGGAGCAAATGGGAGCTGTTTTGACTACTGATCCTTTAAACTAATGTGGGCCACTGGGGGGCCACAACCCATTCCCCTTAAGTGGAAACATGAAACACCAATTTGGATAGACCAGTGGCCACTAACTATAGAGAAGATTGAAGCCCTAAATAATATAGTAAATGGTCTACTACAGGCCAAGCACGTACAGCCCTCACAGAGTCCCTACAATTCACCTGTGTTTGTTATTAAGAAAAAATCAGGAAGGTGGGGGATGCTCATTGATCTCAGGGCTGTTAATGAGGCCTTATACCCATTTGGTGCCTTACAACCTGGGCTCCCCACACCTAGTATGATTCCCCGACATTGGGCCATTGCAGTATTAGATATAAAAGATTGCTTTTACAGCATTCCCTTGGCAGAGAAGGATACAGAAAAATTTGCCTTCTCTATTCCATCTCCGAATTTTCAAGAGCCTTATCGCCGTTTTGAGTTTACTGTCCTCCCTCAGGGGATGATTAACAGTCCAACCATGTGTCAGGCTTTTGTACAAGCCGTTCTCCAGCCCCTCCGGGAGGCCTATCCAAAAGCAATGATCATCCATTATATGGATGATATCTTGTTAGCCAGCCCCAATACTCAGGAAACGGAGGTTATATTACAGCAATGCCTAAGAATGCTAGAACGAGCAGGTTTAGAAGTGGCTCCTGAGAAAATACAAAAGGGCGATCCAGTCTCATACCTAGGCCACCAAGTGACTGAGACTGCCATTTATCGTCCATGGCCTCAAATAGATACCTCCAAAGTAAAGACACTCAATGATTTTCAAAGATTAATTGGTGCTATACAGTGGCTTAGAGGAGTGATTCCTATCTCAGATACTATAATGCAGCCACTTTATGATTGCCTTAAAGGGCCCTCTGCTTTAACTTCTCCCAGACAATGGACCACGAGCGCCCTTGAAGCAATTCAATATATTCAGCAGCAGTGTAAACAGCAGTTACAACGTAGGGATTTGCAAAGTCCTCTCTACCTCACTCTCTTACAAGATGAACATAAAGGCATGTTGGCAGTAATCTACCAACAGCACGGTCCGCTTATGTGGGTCTATCCAGACAGAGATAAGAAAGCACTCCCTAATAGAATAGAAACTCAAGCTCGCTTACTGCTAAAAGCAAGTGCCACGGCACGAAGAATTAGCGGTAAGGAACCTCTTATAACTCTTAATATAACCCCTCAGGTGCTACAGGAGCTCGCTTTGACTAGCGAAGCTTGGGCGGTCTTACTTGTTGCCCACACCATTCTACCGTTAACGTTACCCCAGCTTTACGTTTGTGGCAAGCGGTTCCCCTTCAACGTCCTAGCACTATAATTGCTGCAGAACCAGTGCAGGGACCAAATGTGTTTACAGACGCCACAAAACACCTAAAAGCAGCCTTTTATATCCCAGAAAGACAGGTTTTACAAGTGTATGCTACCCCCTACAATTCTGCTCAGCAGAATGAATTAGCAGCCATTATCAGCGCTTGTGAATTCTTAGCAACAGAATCTTTTAATCTTATCACAGATAGTATGTACTGTTATCATGCATTCCAGCATTTACCAGATGCTGCCTTGACACGGTCACCTTCGTCCGTCCTTCCACTCTTTCAACGACTGCAGCAACATCTGCTGAGCCGAACTACACCGATTTATATACTTCATGTCCGCTCTCATATAGGCCCATATGGGCCTTTATATCAGGGCAATGCCGTAGCGGATGCGGCTTTACAACAAGCCCCTACTGATGTATTCTTTATGACACCCTACACGGCTCATCAGAAATTACACCTTTCTGCTCGTACTTTAAGAACAATGTTTGGCATTCCCAGAGAGCAAGCCAGACAAATCGTGAGAGCTTGCCCTAATTGTGTTCCTTTTCGACCACCACCCTCTATACCGACTTACAATCCCCGTGGTCAAGCACCTAATGCCTTGTGGCAAATGGATGTGACCCATTTTCAAACTACCCTTATTCATGTGTCTATAGACACTTATTCCGGCTTCCTTATGGCCTCCATTCAACCTCGTGAAAATGTCTCAAGTGTTCGTGCTCATCTACTATATTGTTTTTCCATAGCCGGTCTCCCCCACAATTAAAACGGACAATGGCCCCGCTTATCGCTCGCGCTCTCTCGCGACTTTCCTTGCCGAATTCGGCATACGGCACGTGACTGGCATTCCCCATAATCCCACCGGACAGGCCATTGTTGAACGAGCCCACCAAACTTTGAAGCAGCTTCTTGTTAAACAGAAAGGGGGAGTCCCAGGCAGACTTACCAAGGCCCTCCTTGATCAGGTTTTATTCACTTTAAATTTCCTACAAGTGACTGATGATGGCCTAACCCGAGCTGAGAGATTTTTTCGCCCATGTGATACCGGTGGGCACGCACCGTCTTTGACCCCACGGCAGGAGCTGCTGGAGCAAGGCGCTTCTGTTATGTGGAGAGACCCTGAGGGTGTGTGGCATGGTCCAGATAGGGTAACCATCCGGGGGAAGGGTTATCTATTTGTGTCTCCACAGAATGGAGAAGGTCGCTGGGTTCCCGTCCGCTGGGTTCGAGAACTGGCGACAGGAGCGGATGCCGAGAAGGTGGCGAAGCGAGGACGCCGCGGATGTCAACCCAGAAGGCTGAAGAGGGAGAATAAGAAGCGGATCTCTCACTGTGTTTTTTCTTTAGCCTTTCTTAGTCTTGGCCTTGGGTGGGGATTACCCGTTGGCGCCGAAGGGCGTTTGGCGAAACACCTGGTTGCACAGCTAAATCACACTGCTAAGCCCTGGAATAATCTTAACCAGGAGTATACCTATTGGGCACTAGTACGACACTTCCCCCAACCACGTCCAGTTACTTGGAATGGGGATCCTGTTCCCCTAATTGTAGTTTCCAATGCATCACTTCTTATGGGCGAAGGGGTGGGACGGCCAGTTATTTCCCATCTTCAAAATAAGACCATTATTATGAGGAGTCCCACACTACCCATTTGCCTCAGCAAAGGTACCCATGCCGGTTGTGCTCGAGTAGAAAATGATACTATCACTGAGTTACCGCATGGACCCCACGGTTGGATAGGGAAAGGGGATCATTTACACTTTTATGTATTGCAACATCAGCATAGTACTATTAGCGGGTTTTTTCCCTCTCCACTCCCTCTTTGCACCCCTTCCCCTAACATGTTTGCAGGCTTCCAAGTCTGTTCTACAGGGCATCAAGTAGGTGGCGAAAACGTGAATGGGACTCAACTCTACTTTCTGGATGGACAACCGGGTCCTTGGTTTGCGGCCCCGGTACCCCATGTGAGAAGCCCTCGAGGAGTTATAGCCCATGTACATCTGTGGAAACTGGCTGCTGCCTTTGGCCCCTTGATCCACTTCACAGATAACAGTGCACCTCTATCTGACAACAGCACTCTTCGGAACTGGTGGTGGGACTTGTTATTTTCAGCAGGGCGTTCTTGCCATTGATTCTTTGATTAAGAACTTGACTGACTTTGAGCAAATAGAAGATTGCCTTGGTCAATTGGACACTATTTTGGAGCATATTCGCAATGTCACCCGTCAAACAAGGGATAATCTCTTCCCTGATTCCCCTTTCGATCAATTTTTCAACTGGTTACATAACCTGGGATTTTCGCAATTCCTTCTTTGGCTCATTTATGGTGCAGGCTTCCTGATCCTTATCTGCTTTATGGCCCCTTGCCTTTTCTTTTGTTGGCTCCGTGTGCTGCGACGCTCTCTTGAGAACGTCAAAGCCGACCTCTCCCTCCCTAAGAAAAACCCTGTCTTTGTTTAAACAAAAAGGGGGAATTGACAGGGGCGTCCTGGACCCTGGCTTCCTAGGAAGGGTGTGGAAGACCCCGACCGCCTCAGATGACGGTTACGAGGAGGCTCCGCCTCTAGGGTAGAACAGGGGAGGGGCGCAGAGTCTTACGAGGCTCGGGAGGAGGGTCCTTGAAGTGTATATAACGGGCTGAGAACAAAGGATCGGGGGGATCCTCCACAATAAAGAGCATACACCACACTCGCGTCCTGTCTGGTCCTTGAGCCCACCTTTCCCCCAGGGTGGGTCCGGAGACGTCCGAAGCCCAGCTCCCAGGGGAGGAGGCGTACCTGAAGGGCCCGGCCCGGGTCAAATGAGCAATTATTAAATACCCATTATGAACCAGGCAGATATTGTGCTAAGTACAAACCAGGCAGATATTGTGCTAATTACTGGGGGATATCAAGAATAAAAAAGAAAAAAAAAACTTGCTCTCAAGGACCTCAAAGTCTAATGGGAGAGACAATGTGCAAAACCGATCTATAAATTTGATTTTCATATATATATATATATATATATATATATGTATACGTATATATATGTATATGTATATATATATATGTATATGTATATATGATGTATATATTGGAGTTAATATCAGAGACGAGGCACAAAATGAAGGAGGACTGAGAAGGACTACTTACCCAAGGTGAGACGTTATCTGAGGGAAACCAGGGAAGCCAGAAGGGGGAGATGAAGGGAGAGAGTTGCACGCATGGGAGACAGCCAGGGAAAAATGCACATGCATACACACGCGCGCACATACACACACACACACAAAATCAATTTGCACTATTCCTAAGGTAAATTATAGACAAACAACATGGCATACAGTCTAGAATGCTAGACTTACACTCAAAAAGAACTGGATTTGAATCCTTCCTCAGTTACTTAAATTATATGTGTCTGAGCATATCATGTAACCTTCATCACAAATCAATTTATTTTTCTTATGTGTAAAATCAGGTTTATAAAATCATCTACCTCACAACTGTTACCATTTACCTCAAATAAGACAATGAATGCAAAACTCTTTGTCAACCTTACAATGTTACATAAATGTCAGGTATTATTATACTTTCTAGAGGCTGGGGCAGATGCCTTTGTGGTGTTTTTTTTTTTTAATGGATCCAAGTGAACCACTTGGCAATCTTGATTCTCGAGGCCGGTGTGGGCCCAGCCCACTGAATGATGTTTCTTTGCTTTACTCTGATTCCTCTGACTGCTACTTATAGACCCTAACCCAGACCCATGGGGTCTAGGCAAAGAAAATTGAAGCAACTCATTCAACAACATATTAAACAATTCTTCAAGTTTTGTTTTAGGTTTCGTCCTGTAGAATTTTGTAATGTACTCATTGATTGACCTCACCTATATTCAATTTAGACTTGATTATTACCACATCCCAAAAAGAAATTTACAATCAACAGAGCAACCTCTCTCCCTCTTGCACTCTCTCTCTCTCTTTCTCTCTCTCTCTCTCTCTCTCTCTCTCTCTCTCTCTCTCCCTGCTCCCCACACTCTCTTTCTCCCTCTCTTTCTATTCATCAATGACAATGATCAGTCAGAAGCCAGAAGTACGCTTAGGAGCCATCACTGTTCACTAAGGGCCTATTAAATACATGCTTTGAAGTTACTCTTTGAAACTCTATGCTGAATCAGCTCCACATAACACACAACAGGATAAGACATAGTTTGCAGTTTCAGAAAAGCCCTTTGAAGGAACTCCATGGGGATAATACTCTCATCAGAAGCATTAAGATAGAGTATCAAGGTGTTACTTTAAGCCTATCCTTCAGAAAGGTGAAATGCCCTTCAAACAATCTTTGTGCTTTCTCAATCTGTTGGGCCTTAAGCAGAAGCAAACAGTACTTTGATGTGTCTTAGTAGCACCAGTATGTCATAAAAGAGAGAGATTCTGTAAAATATTATTTTTCTTCTTTTGAATTTAATGGGAAAAGTTCTTCATTTTAGAGTGATAAGTTTTCCCCTTAAAACTATTTTTGCAGTTCAAAACATAGATACACATTCCCTCCACTTGGAAATAAAAATGTATTAGATCAGCTTCAAACACAGTCTGACAAATTGAAAACAGAAAAAGACTGAGGAATATCTATCAGCACATCAAATCTACTATTCAATTACAAACAGAATTCTTTATATTCATTTGACAATTTTATAGTTTTATAGAAAATATTCTTTGTAAGAAATTACTACATATCTGAAAATACTCATCATTTCAAAAGACAAAAGCAAAAAGACCCTTACAATCTCAAGTCCTTAAGATTTATATTGTTTTGTGGTGTTTTCATCTTTTTAAATTTCTATTCTGAGCTTAAAAAATGAAATACAATGAGCATTTTGATACGTACATGTATATATGTGTGTATACACACACACACACACACGCATATACATCCATATTTTAGAACATAAGGAAAACATCCTTCATGAAACTGGATTCTTATGATTTAATATATTGAATTTTATTTAAGAGCCTGCTTCTCTTTTTATGGGAAATCATGACCTTGCACAGGATCATCATCTAGTGATTTTTAGTTGATATACTTCAATCAAACTCTAATTTTGAACTTCATAATTATGTAAACAAGGAATAAGAACAAAACAGAAATCATTGCTTTAAAATAGTGTTTTTATAAATGATATTATTAGAAAATGCATTCGAATTTTAGATTGAAAGAACTGGAGAGACTGTTTACTCTAGCTTCCTCATTTTAGTGAATTAGAGAAAATTAAAGCCTAGAGCAAGTCACAGCCCTGATCTTGGTAAAGATCGAATTGGTCTTTGTAGGGCCAAGATATAAATCCGGAGGCTCTGACTCTAAATCCAGGGCTCTTTCTCTCGTGATATCATTATGGTTCTCACAAATATCTTCTAGAACAATTTGATTAGAACTTTTTCAATCACCTATAACTTTTAAAAAGCACCTAATTCCATTTTATGTATTTATAATCCAAACCACTTTTTGTAATAAATCATCATATTGGAATAAAAAATATTAGAACAAGTGTTTCATCAAAAGCATTTCATATAATTGTCCAGCAGCCACTCCAGGAATCTTGGAGAAGACAGCCACAGAACTGCCCCAAGCTTGGCTGGATGCCTTTTATTTTCAGCATTTTGTGAGTATTTAATTCTCCTGACACCTGTATGTCAAGTGTCTTTTTATTAACCATTTTCTGAAGAAAACCTAAAAGTAAGCCATTATCTAAACTGCAAGTAAAAGGATCCCCAGGGAACTGAGATTAGAGTTTAGTGAGCCAAAGTTTATGAGAAAAGGGAGACTATTTTTTTTTTCATGTACTCCACAGGACTGAACCACAGGCTTGTACGATTACATACAAAATTATGAATGGGCTCAATTTTCTATTGCAGAAATGGTTTCTAAATGTTTTGTGTGGGGACCTTGTTCAGTTGTTGAGGGGTTAATTCCAATTACCTTTAGATATTTCATCCAACTGGCAGACTCTCAAAGTTTAGGGCTCATTTGGCTTTGTTTTATTTCTTTTTGTACCATGCTTTCTTGGCCTATATAAGTTTGGAAACTTATTTTGTTTGCCTTATAAACAGATAGGGGCTTATTAGGAAAAAAAAAATTGTGCCTTATGACATAGGGACCCAGAGAGAATTTTTTTGTCTGCAACTCCAATGAGATCACCTTATGTGTGCTGGGAATACCTGGCTAAATGAGGGTATGCCCTGTTTTTTAGAGTGGTACTTAGAAATGCTTTGCCTGGACCTCCAGTTGGATCACTCTTTGTTCTGCAGGGAATCATAAAAGAAGTTTAACTTAAGATAGGTTGATTTCTAATATTCACAGAAATTACTTCCAGGCAACCAAAGTTTATGCTGGTAAACGTTTAATAACAGGCTTTCTGGAAGAAAAACCATACACTTGACATGCTTTTAAGTTTAATCTGCATTATTAATATTTTGTCCACTCTGTTCTTGAGATTAGACAATCAACAAAGGAATAATTCAAGCCCTAATTTGCAGCATTTTCAGATTTCTGAGGTGTAAATGTTAATTCTGAAAATTTAACAATTATCTCTCCTGAGCTAGCTCAAACATACCCCCAAGTCAATTCCACATCTCTTATTTCTGTTGGGAGAGCACCTCATATTTTGGGAGACCATTTGAGACTAGAGTTTCTCTGTGAGAAGAAACTCAGTTTTATTTTGTTTTTTGGTCTCTGTCTCCCTTTTATTATTTCTTTATTTTTTCCTAATTTTCTTTTCCTTTTCTCTAGTTGTTTAGGTTGGGATAGCCCTTTAACAAACCTTGATAAACTTTCAAGAGTTTGTTGAATTCACTAGCTTCGTATTTGGGAATGATAATGATCTATTTAGCTCAGTACCTTGAATATATATGGTAGTCCTGCCCCATCCCATCCCCCCCCCACCCGAGCCAAAAAAAACCCCTCTTTTTTGATGCAGGGGAAGGATTTGACTCTTAACAAGTGTGCCAAAAGGACTTGAATTATTTTGTATTTTTTAAGTCAAGTCATTGGATAGGCATTTGAGAAGATAACATTTGATCCTCCCTTGGGACCATAGGTTTTGCAATATGTATAATTTTTTTTGTTTGTCTTTTAAACAACACGCACAACAATTCTAAATGATTTATTAAGAACAGTACATATTTACCTGGAGAAAAGTTGAAGAGAATGAGAAAAAGAGACTTAACACCAATCATTAGATAACAGATTACTCAGCACTGAAACCAGTCTTAATCTATCTATGTCAGAGTGCAAAACCGGGAGTTAGTGCAATACCTGTCATCCTTGTGGACCCATTAGTGGCTCCTTAAAGTTAGAAAATTCATCATTTCTGACAAGAAAAAAAATAGGAGGAAATCCAAATTTCCTCTTCTCTCTCAGCTGGTTGGATTAAGGGACTTCTCTATTCTCTTCCAAATATTTTAAATTTTGTATTGTTTTATGTTGTATTGCATTTGTAGTGATCCTATACTGACCCATTTCCTCTAGGAACTTCCAAGTGCTATTGATATCAATCTCTTCTTTAAAAGTGTAGGTCCTCCATGAAGCTTTAACATGATTCCTTTCTCAAAATATCTTATACCAGAGTTTTGACATATCAAGCACATATTTTAGCATATAGTATATTTTCGTATAGATGTCTCATCCAGTCTCTCACATAGATAGAAGACTATTTAAACA